ACTTGTAATAGTTACTATCAAACTTTAAATCTTGTCGCGAGTGCTCACGAGGAATGCGCATATAACAATAACAACCAATGTGTTTCTCGCGGTGTTCACTACAATTTTACTGCTATAAATATTATTTACATTTAAGTTGAAGAAATACGTGAATACCTCTATACGACTAATTGAAAGATCAATGGCCATTGTTTATCGCTACAGAGTAATATTTCTATAGATTAACATTATATTTCCTTGTCCTCTTTGAAGTGTCTTAAATCATTGTTCTCATTTCGTTCTCATATTGAAAAGGTTCCATTGAAGACACTTTTTAATTAAAGGACGGTAAAGTTGGTTTTGTCAATACAGACAATGAAAAGAACGGTATATTATGAAAGAAACCCTTTCCTTTCGCTTTGCACCTTCTTTTGTTTGAAAAGTGATTGTGACAGAAAAGGCACTTTAACTCTTCTGTCAAATCTACTGCGACTGTTTGTTCGCAAATATTCCTTTATATCTTCATAGACGATATTTCGTTCTCTAACTGCGGTACCTGTGATTGATGGTTAAATCAGATTTGTTCCACTCACGTTTCGTCGTAAAGTGGAAAATATAAAACGGAAGTGCTGGAAACTGTGGCGAGAGTGCAGTATGTATGGTGTTAGCTGTATGAAATCATGTTACGTGTAATGTTATGTACTGTAAGATTAGAATACATCATAAAATGGTGATGGCGTGTACTGCTGGAATGTAATACATGTATCGAGTTATCCCTAAATACAGCCATTTTATAATGGACGTTTATTCGAGGTTCGTTTCCCTCTCTGTTTCTACATTGTAGAAAATATTAAAAATATATAAGAGGAAAGGTTACACAGAATATTTTAAATACTCGATGATAGATGTCTGACTTAGAAATCGTTTATTAACAGAAAATTTAATACCATCATCCATACAAATTAGCTTCTTAGGAGTATCTTAGTACTATGCCATACGAAATATTATTATTATTATTATTTTTACTCGTTATCCAAGTATCTCTCATATTGAAACTCGTCGACGCTTCAATTCTAAAATACTTTGCCCAAGAAGCGATTCTTTTTTTCTCTCTCTTTTCTTTTTTTCCCTTTTGTTTTCAAACAAAATGATTGATTTCAAAATTCCCACTCACTCACTACTCTCAATTATCGTATTTCGATTATCTCGAGTCCTTCGATAATCGAACGCGATCGTATGTTCCCGCGCATTCCACTCGCCGCTCTCTCAACATACTCGCGACTAACTACTGAGACTTTACGTTGTGCTAGAAAATACTTTCAGACAAGTAATTAAAAAGTATCAAAAGGTGGTCGCGTCTTAAGTGTAATATTTTCATTGCTATCGTATTGTTAATTGAGAGTCAATCCCGAAGATTAATCTCGTAACTAAGAAGCATGAAAATATGTGAAACGAAAGGCCGTTTATCGCAGCCATCGTATCAACAGTACTTTCGGTAGTGTAAAAACTCAAGTCTAATTACGCCAAATGTATATACTACAACGTTCTGCCTGTAATTGGGTGATTCTTTGTTTTCCTGTTTTCTTAATCTATAAATTGAAATGTAATCTATTACGCGAATATTGACACTGGGACATATTAAAATCTTTGGCGTCCATTTGTAGTTTCGTTAAGAATTATTATCGTTTCTTTCTTTTCTCATATTCAACAACAGAAGAATGATAATACAAAAAGCACATGTTATGTAAAAATAGAATAAAATCTACTATGTTATATTTCCTGCAGTGAAACCCGTAGTACGAAGGTTTCAATTATGTATATCATGGGTAATTTTTTTACAGGTTAGGGTTTAGATGTATATAACATTTGGTAGAGAATGCTTTACCGAATACTTTACGTTTAAATTACACACTTTTGTATAAATTATCAGCATATTGACCGCGAAAGCTCCTTTCTTTCTATTTAAAACAAACTAAGTAAGCAATTAATTTTTTTTTGACAATACTGTATAAATCATTTACAAAATGTTATCATATAACATTTTAACATTTCAATTTGATGATGCAACGAATTTTGGATTTCATTATTGTAAATAACTGTAAATAACTAACAGATTGCATAACCAAAATCACACAAATCTTAATATCCTGAGTTATCTTAACTTTATCATTATAGTTCGTCCTTGAGTAATGTGTACCTGTTTTTGCTAGGTGCTAGTTTCTTAAATGTAGATTCCGGTGGGGTTGTAGGCACCTTAATTTGTCCGACAATTTGCGGTACTTCATTATTGCTAGGATCAGGCCCATAATGAAACTCCCTGTGCAACTTTCCTGAATATAAGTCCCGCAGGAAACCTTTCAATTTTCCTTCTATGTGAATATCGTGGAAGTTTGGAAACAGGTACATGTGTCTAAAACTATCTATGGCAATTAAAGGTAAATCTGCTGGAGTCTTTCCTAAATGATGGAGAGGGTGGGCAAACTTTACACCATCCGCAGTTAAAAAATTTATATTTTCTGAAATCAAACAGAATATTGCATTTATTCATCTTTTGAGAACTAACTTTCTAAGAACTAACATTTGTGCTATATAGATGTATTTTACTCACGTTTTTCATCGATTAATGTCCTTGTTACTACATCTTTATACATTTTAACGCTATCAATATCATGAGGAGCATGAAACAATATAAGAAAGGGTAAACCTTCCTCTGTTAATTCCTCAGCATTTTCAAATGTAATTTCCCTCACAAGGGGAACACATTTTTCTTGTGCCCAGACATTTAGTTCATCAAAGTTGTTCAAACTTCCATGGTACGTTTCATCCTCATCATTAGAAAGTGCCTTATCAGAACGGAAGACAATTATAGGTTCTCCTGGAGGGTGCATAGCTTTGCTTGCATTCCTATGCATATTCCCAATATTTAAAAATTGGTTTGAATTTTAATTTGTATGAATATATTTATCAAACAAAATTGCAAGGAATAATAAAACATTAAACATTCACACACATACATTGGACATACATGCAGGCTGTTTTAATGCAGAAAGATAGGTTATAATAGGTATTAATATAGAAGAAAAACGAAAATGGGCAAAAGTAGAGAAAGGAATATCGAAAGAATAATTTTGTGAATAAAAATATCATGATGATGCCATCTAGATTATGCTCCATACTTACAGAAAGTGAAAATGTTGTCCAATTTCACAATTTTGAGCTGAGCATGTGCTTGTTAGAGAGAAGAATAAAAGAGTTATATGCAAATTATAGAAGAAAATTATAGAAAATTTCTTTGGAAAACATGAGTCAATGTGTTAATCATTGGTTCACAAAGTACTTGGACACTTAATAAAAATTTATTGTTATTTTATGCAACTATAAAATTGCATCATGAAAAAAAGTCGCATAACATTCAACTTTGACTCATTTTAAAGCATGAAGTCTATATTTAGAGTATAATATCAGAATCCTTACCCAAAGCCAACATGAAATTGGCAGTCATCCTTAAGATTAGTAGCAACTCTCCTAAACATTTCATATTCAGGAACATCCTTCCTATCAAAATATCCAATAATCATTCTTTTTTTGTCATCTAAATTAGTTAATTCCTTTAAATTGTAAAATTCCTTAATAGGATCTTCCAGTTGTTTCTTTATAAATTCCTCAAATGCTTCTACAGATCGTTGACCTCTATATTCTCGTTTGGTTGGTTGACCATTTCTTATCACTTTTAAAGTTGGATACTTGGTGATGTGAAATCTCGATGCAATAGAAGCTGAAAAATAATTGTTCAATTCAATGATCAGTTCTTCACGTATAAAATTATTTTACTCACATTCCCTTTCACAGTCAACTTTCGCCATTACAACTCTTCCTGGTTCAGGAAATGCACTTCTTATTTTATTTGCAGCTTCTTCAAAAATAGGGGCTAATGAATTACTAAAACGGCACCATTGTGCATAAAAATTTATAAATACCAATTCATTTGACGCTGGAACATAATAGATGAAATCGTGATGTTTATGCCGCGGCAAGGAATCGTAAAAAATTGATGTATAGATTTTTTATTAAAACTGAACTTACCAAGCGTCATGTCGATATTTTGTTGAGTAAGGGATACCGCGCCTTCGTTTGCATCGTTTGCTAAATTGTTTGGCAAAAACGCCTAAAAGATAACACATTTAATTGTTTTTCTAACATTATCACTTTATGTAATATTTTTACAAGCATTGAAATATTACCGCGCGCCCAATGTTGCGATATTATTTATCACACGATACGTAGGATACTACATGTACGTAGGATAAGGAGAATTAAATAGGAAAGGACAAATTAAAATAACAGGAATGGATTGAGAATTATAATTTTATTTTCTAACAAAAAAAATCCTTTGGCATTAGTTTTCATATTGTGTTCAATATTATTAAATTTAAACCATCCGCAACAGATGTGTACAGTTATCAGTATTACGTTTGGAAAGTTTGTTTAAGAAATTTTTGAGGTTATTTTACGTGTACGTGTACAGGTTATGCCACATTATAAACAGTGAAATTAGTTCCATGCTATTAAAATAATTCCTGGTTCATATCACGGAGGATTAACGGGAGATGGACTTTCTAAAATTCATAAACTCAAATACGTGTCACTCTGCTGGAGGTATTTAAAAAACAATCGACCTTCTAAAAAAGGACAGTACGATATATTATTTCGATCGATACTCACCATTAGACAGGCAAATGCAAATACTCTGAAGTCAAAAATATCACAGAAGACCAACATGTTATGATCTTACAATAAAAATTTGATCAGGCAACACTTTTTTGAATAACCATCAGTAAGCAGCTGCCTCTGCATCAAATGCCACGAATCTGCGGTACATCGATATCTAGTAAAATATTCTCGAGACATCGATTTCACAGGGATGGCATATGTATTACATAAATTCTCTATGTTAAAGTTGTACCTTTGTTCAACTTCTACTTGGTATCATTTTCTGTCTCGTTTCATTCCGATGTTTCTATTTTCTGCAACTAGTATTTACGTTTCTAGGAACTTTCGTAATGCATTACCATAATATTTCTCTAGCAAGTAACCAATCGCATTCTACTATGTTTGGACACATTGTACATAGTGAAAAGTTACTAGACGATTCAAATTTGTGGCGGTATTTCGATTCATCTGCCAGTTTCTTTCTTGAATTAAAAAGAATATATAACAATATAAGTATAGATATGAACACCTGCAAAACTAAGTCTATACATAACACTTTTAATCTAGAGCGTTCTTTTTCTGTACAAAAATAATATGACTTATATTTTTGAGAAACTCTATCAATATCATTATAAAGTATTCGTTTTATTAAGAAATTTTTTCAAAGTAATTATTTGTACAAACTCCATTGTTAATTTCAGTCAAGTGTGACTTATACCATAAATCGGCCAAATTGAAAGTACATTCTATGTAAATCCGATAGAATTTTCCTTTTATCATAACTGTTCTTTTTCTCGAAATTGTCATTTGAAATTGCCTTCTCAAAGGAGTAATTGTTTGTTTATCCGTAACAAATACAGGAACATTTTATTGCAGAAATATGCAATAAAACAATCTCTGTGTGAAAGCTAATTATCGAGTACAGATAGAACGACAATAATTCAGATTTTCAGATATTTTGCTTACCATATTATTCTGCTTTTCGACTAAACTTTTAATGTTCTGGATAAATCTTCACGCTTTCACAAAGATAACACGATAATAATAACTGTTCACAGTAACTTGGATAATAAGTCATGAAGAGGCGACAGCATAGTATAACATTTAAACTACGCCTTCATGCATATTCTACAAAATCCAATTTTCCAATTCGGTTTATATTCGGCAAATTTCTCGTTCCCTTTCTCTCTAGCACGAATTTTTCTAAATTTCAAATGTTATTGATCGATTGCTAACTTACACTTAGTCGAATACCTTTCCTTTTATAAAATGAATTCGCTAGACAATTAATTTAAATTGCACCGATCTAACGAAAGCTTCTGGATGTGTCCGCTCGAACAGGTATAGCATATACGCTCTCGCTTGACATAAGTTTCCGTCAATAGCTTGGCCAGAATAGGCAGTCGGAATGACTTTGAGTTCGTAGAGGCCTTTATACCTTTCTGTTGCCGACGTTTTTAGTCCTCTCTGCAGGGGTAGACGTGTATTTCGAATGTGCCGATGTCAATCTTGTATCTGAATGGACCAGCCGCGTGTTCGTAACAGCTTGTCAAACAGTTGCTCGTGAATTTCGTCCAAGTTCTTACGACAATTACGAAATTTTTCCGACGGCGTATTTTTATACACGTGTAGATACAAGTGTCGGTACAAATTGATTTAACGTAGGATCATGATTAACTTTAACGCGTTAGGGTGACATTTATTTGCCGGTGTCTCTTTGACACTGGACCGGGTGCACCGCTGGATACTAGTTGAACAAACGAGCCTGTTGAAAGATAAAACCACACAATACGCCATGGGACTCCACATTCGACGAATATCTCTCTTCCGAGAAAAACTGACGCGAGCTTCGGGGGGGCGGCACTGACCTTTGCCGCGACAAAACGTGCCGACTTTTCCCTAAAAACAGGAATATTCGGGTAGACACGCTTGTGCAGAGACACATGTAACTAGAGAATTTTTTATTTTCGATTTTTCTTCGTGACGAATACGAAATTTGGTTATTTATTTTTACTTGACTTGTTTTTTTAAATAAATACTAGTAATATCTGTAGTGTTGGTATAGTAGAACAAAATTTTGGAGGGCGTGAAAAGGCACATGTTTAGCTCTAAAATAAAATAAAAGGAACAATTTTGAAAACACATAGGATTAATTGATAGCATCAGTGAATTAACCGTATTCCATCCCTATAGTCGTCTAATTCTAACCCTCTACTTATGACTTTCAACATAATACATTAAGCACGTGGAGTTCAGATTAGGGAGTTCAGATTCAAATACGGTTCCAACGAAAGTTCATTTAATTAGATGTCAGCCAAAATGGGATTTCTATTGAAAACTTTTTTTCAATAGATCATTCAAAAAGTTGAAAGAAAAAGAAAACCGATTTCGTCACGGGATATTCGCGAAATCGTTAATTTTATATCAAAGATCCTTTTTACGATTTTACCTGGAACAACGTGGGTCTCTGAAAAGAAGCAATTATCCATTTTAATTCCTTGTTGACTTGACATGGGGTATATACGGATGCGCTAGGCTTGTTTGATCAGTCCGGCCATTGGTGGTCGTTTGGGTTTCTCGTGATTCGTTCCCGAAGGTTGCTACACAAATCATATTCTCGGTCTCGTAGTCCAAAATCCTCTCGTTTTTCTTTTTAACTTTCGTCGATTCTATCGTCGCACCAGGACCTGCGCCACCCTTGCAACGAAAATGGTCGGTCGGCACGATTGAGACAATAGAGAAACCATCGACTCGCTGCCTGCTAATTAAAATCTATCGGTGAAAGACGAGCCGACGAAGGGTGAACATCGACTCATTTTTTTTCTCTTCGAAGCGACCACAGTCGCTTTCCGCCAATGTGTTCCTTTTCACGTTCACGCCGGCCATTTTGACTTGCTTTGAAGATAACTCAGGAAAGAAATGAAAGAAATTAAAACAAACGCGACAACACATATGGAGACAGTAGACCGATCATCTTGCGATTTAGTTAATTTCAAGTGATCGCACTTAAAACAAAACTAGTAAAATCTTAGTATCTTACATATACCTATGTTGACCTTGTTAATTATACGATCAGAATGATTCTTTGCTTTGGTGGCTTACAGATATAAATCTGCGGCCTAGCAGTTAATCTTTTAACGACTTGACCTAACAATTCTGACTGAATTACTCTTATACATAATTTGTTGAAGACTCTTAAATCCTTTGTTCCTATTTAATGCTTCTTCAAACAATAGTACATAATATTTAATCGTTTTTTTTTTTTTTCATTTAATACGATTCAATTTTGAGATCGCCCATTGACTATTGTATTTCTACGTCTTTATTATTCTTTGCCTGGAAACTTCATTGCTAGCCAGTTGTCAAGTTTCTGAAAATTTTTCAACACAGCTGACTTGTGCACTGTCGTGCACTTGCACAATTGTCCATTGATTCGGCACGATCACAAATGCCGTGTCGTTGCGTAATGAATCCGCGTATAATGTGACGCGGCTCCCTTTGAACGCTCGATATTCTCACGGGTCCCATAAGGTACCCCGAGGTTGCTCCCTGATTCTGGTTCTTATTCTATCGTTTCTCTCCTCTTTTTCTCTTCTTTTTTTTCATCTCGGGCGCAACAGGTCGTATTGTGACGTGGGTGTCATTCCCTTCGAGCAGAATTGGCGGTGAGAGGACCCCTTCGGCTCGATTCTTACGATTCTTTCTCTAGAACGGAGCACAAATTTATGGACTTGGGATCGTCGTTTTCGAACAGGTACATGCTTTCCTCTTGTTCTCGCACCTTGCACATCGTTAATTCATCTCCTCAGAAATGTGTCTTCGGCGTCTTTGAATACAAAGTTTGGGCTGGAAACAAACACGGTGGACTAGACTTGAAATGATGTAGGTTAAATAATAATTTCAATTTTTTATCTTTACGAACCTTTCCCTGCCTATAAATATAATTTATTATGATCTAATCGAACAAAATTATTGTAATCTTCTAACATTGATAACGTGTGGATGTTTGAGTTTGAAAGAATAACGTTCTTGCAACTTCAATATCATTAGTTAATGAAATTTCTTGCTGCAGTAAATATTTGTATTTTCTTTTATATCTTATAGGTATAATCAGATTATATATAGGTTTTTATTAGCTGAGAACGCAAATAATTATTTTGCAATAGATATAACGAATGTCATTTCATGCAATGATTTTATCAACCAATATATTTTTTATATTTTGTGAACCATTATATTTTTTCGAAAGGTAAATTCTTAAATCACGTGTGCATTCTATAACATACATTAACACTATTTTATAACAAATTTATACTGCACGAATATACATTACTGAATTTTTCCAACTCCTAGTGAAATTCTAATGCTTTTCAGCTGCGGTGTACATCAACACCGATGTTCATCCATAATAAATGATTATCGTAACGCAACCATAACCTCCTGTACGCTACTACAACGCTTCCCTTAGTCAAGTGATTAATGATGATGAACTGTTTGCTATCCATTTGTCTGGGCTTGAACAGGCCAGAACACACTAATCAGATATATAAAACGTAAAACTTGGAACAGATTCCAAAACTGGTGGAATAGATCCACTTTCATTAGGTATTAACTTTCAAAAGAAAGAAACTTTTGTCTTTTATATTAGCTCACCAGGTAAATATTAGCTACCGTTCTTTAAATACTGAACTGGTGTCATTGCACAGACTCTTATTGAAAAACTATCTGTTTGTGAAGGTGATCAGCGATCTTCAGCACACTTCGTAATCTCTTGTTTACGGTCCTGTAATCCTAACCAGATTACCAACAATGCGCAAGTTAGACGGATCCGACTAATCTCGTTCTCGAGGTGCATGATCCGATCACCCTCGAAATGGGCCTTCCTCCCTTAAAGAGAGAGAGAGAGAGAGA